TGTATTATCATCATTAGCATCTTCACTGTCACACTTCACTAGTCACAGAGCCAACGCTGTGCAAACAGGGACTAAATTTGCTTCAGTGCTCTACATGTAGGCACATACCTATTGGGAATATTAACTTAAAGCAGGGTTCAAGTATTCTGCTTGACGGAGACCTGAGAGAAGCAATCATCTCAGAATGAAGCAGGGGAGAATTTGAGAGGGAACAGTAAAAACCTGTATGGTTCTCTTTTGTCTGCCTGCTTCTGCAAGCTGTTTCAAGCAGGTTCAAGGGGCCTGTCACTGCATAGCCTGCAGTATTACAGCTTACAAAATAGTTTCATGATCAGCTGAGTCTGGCACAGATTTACTCTGCTGAAAATGGGATCGTTCCCCTTGGCTTCAGCTGCTCAAGTCCTGGCACTAAGATTCGCATCCAGCCATATGGCAGACTGGTCCTTGGAACCATTTGGCTGTAGGCTAATCATTCATGGAGACTTCAGTTATTTTTCAGCTAGATCAGCTCCCCGACTCAGTTCACTGCATGGCTGCACGAACACTGGTGCTGGTGTAAGGAAATGGGGCACAAGTAAGGGGCCAGGAATGGGGAGAAAGACTGAAAGGAGTTCCAGGCTGCCCTTCTCAGTGCTGGCTTATGCCAGGTTATCATGGTGTCAAACTAAGGCAAAGATAATGTTCTCAAAAGGTTGCTGAACTCTGATAGCAGTGGAAAACGTTGGAAATTGGAATGTTTAAGAAGCTGGTCCTCCTCCAGTTATGCAAAAATCTAAGGCAGATGGAAATGTCTTAAAAAGGAACCTTTTAAAACCAGATACTCTTAATGCCAAGCCAAAGCAGAAAACAGCATTCTGCAGCTTCTTTGCATTCTGAATGCACTCAGATGCAAGAACTCACGATCTGCTGCAAATAGAAATAAAAAGAAGTAGCTGCAAGAAGACAAACCAGTCATCACAAACTGCAAAGTACATCACATTTTAACGAAATACTTTCTGTCTAAACAGCGTCAGGAATTCCCTTTCAATGAAGACTTGTAGATAACTGAGGATATAGCTTTAAGTTTTGCAGCGTCCCATAAAAACACTTGAAAGTACCCATTGCTGTTGATGAATTTCTGTATGCTGTGCATCAGAGAGAAAAACAATGCCTTTGAAAATGCTGCAATTTGATTTTTATACAACTATAATTTATTTAGAATTAAGAAATTTGTTTTACATTCCCCAGCAATTTTAATTCTATCTGATTAGAGGTCTTACTCTTTACCTATCATATTGAAGCGTAAGAATGTTTTCGGTATTCTCAGGCAGAAGGGGAAAAAAAGGTCCAAGGTCACAGCTGGAGGAGCTGCGCCGCAAACAAGTAAGCGCACATGAACATTTGCATGGGTCCAAGCTCTCTGAGTAGGGCTAAAACCACTAAGGCAGCTGCTCGGTTTCCTGAGGTATCTCCAGTGGTGTAATGAGAAACCACAAGGAGCATGTATAGAGAATATTTACACTACAAATCATAAAGAGTAAATGTCAAGGGAAATTCTGCTTCCCATATCTTCTAATAAATGAGGAGAGACACATTTGAGATGAAAAGGTCACCAAGATTTAAAAAGAATAAAATGAGTTTTTTATAGACTGTATGAGCTGAAGTGTGGAACTTGCTGCCTTATGACATTACTCAAGGAAACACAGCTGCCACAAGTTCATACACTTTTGAACAACTCTACTGCAGGAACTATGATAATATCTATGATGTTACACTACCAAGAATAAATGTGCCTTGTTCTAACGGTTGTTGATTTTCAGAGTCCTGTAAAGCCCATTGAAAAATGCCAGGAATTGCACTTCCACTAAAAATGCTCCCAACTTCTTTCACTGAGTTTAAGAGGATCAAATTGCAGGATACAGACATCACACTATCATGACATTAATGTTTCAACTTGATCTAGTACTTGATCTAGAGGCTGGCAACCCTGCCTGTGCCAGAGGGATGGGAACTTGATGATCCCTGAGGTCCCTTCCCACCCAAGCCATTCTATGATTCCATGACTGACTTCCAATCAATCATATTTTTAATAACTGAGAATGAAGAAGAAAATATGGGAGATCAATCATTTGGATACAAACCAGGACAAAACACAAAGAGTATTACTGCATTTCTGGCCTCAAGTATTATTTACCATATAATTTCAACTACCCTACTCTTTTGAAAATCAGATGCTTAACAGAACTGTGGAGAATAACTGGCAAAACATGGAAGAAAACATAAAAGCACAATATCTGGGAAAATAAGAGAAAACTGAAACGCAAAAAAGACTGAATATTTTCTGAGCAGCAATTTAGATGATCAAATCAATCCTCCTTCCCCTAATTTTCTATTAACCTACTAAAGTGTTAGTCATGAAGTTCACAACAAGCCAGATTAACACATCTGTCACCCTATTATTTCAAACTCTTCTCAGAAAGTACCTGCTAGTTAACACAGAACTTTCTAGCAAACGACAGTTTCATTATTTTCCAAAATATTTGCAGTATTTTCTGCAAGGCTCCCTACCCTACAGAAATGCCTTTTGGAGGACAAGCCACCAAATCAGATGCTCTTAGAAAGGATTGCCCATTCTCCTTGGGGAGGGAATACTATTTGAAATAAGCTGCAAAATAAACTCCCTCTGCCAATTCATCAGGCTTTCAGAGAAAAGCCACGGGATCTCAGTTCCACAGAGGGACCATTATCACTTGAAACCTCTCTGCCTGGTGTCTCTCTACATGGCTGACGCTCCCATAAGGACAGCTCACACCCAAGGTTCACCATTCTCTGCAGCAGCAGACCAAGATAACTCATTCACTGTTCTCCTCAGAAACAAAGCTATCTAGCAGAGACAGAGCTTTCTCTCTTTCCTTTCTGAGTCACCATACTCCTTTCTCTGTACGCCTAAGCAGCATTGCAGCGTGGGCCAGCACAACAGCTCTTCCCACTTTTTGGTTTCTTTTTGGTAGTCCAGAAGACAGCCTAATGAAGGAAGGCCCACATGAAAGAAAACACAGCAGACTAAAATAATGAGTCTGGCTCAGAAGGGCAAGAAGTGTTTTTACACATCACAGTCAGTTTGCTAGCCTTTGTACAATACTGTAACCTCTGACATTTGTTTGCCCACTTGTTCTTCTACTTATTTGCATTTCGCATTACAAGACAAATTTTAAGGAACTAACAGAACACTGGTTTATTAAAGAATTTGCAAGATGCTTAATAAGCACTTTGTGCACAAATGCAAACATCGTGTCATTAAAGAACACTGTGAAACAGAAGACATTGCAAACTCTTCAGTCCTAAGACAACCTGACATGCATATAATAAAGGGCTCTGTCTTGAACCACGTTCTTCTACTAGCCTGCGCTGAGCTGCCTGCAGAAGCACACTAGCTGAAGGTCACTTGTAAGAGGCTTTGGAAGTTTGGAAATGCTGTGTGTGTTTAATATCTTACATGCAACATGCAGGAGAGCCCTGAGTATGGCACTCTTGGAAAGGCTCAGTGTAAGGCCGCCCTCTGACGGCAGCATTTCCTACAAACAGTCCAGTGCACAGCAGGATGGGCTGCACACAGAAGAAACATGTCAGAGCTGGTCTCTTACAAGGAGCATGATGTAGACATCAGAATATGTTGCCCTAACCTTTCCACTTGAGGAGGGTAAGTACCGTTTCCAACTCGCCTTCTCTGTCAAAATGGCAAAAGCATCATTTCCTCATTGTCTACACATTGCACTGGAATTTTGCTGCACTTCACTACTGGACTCAGAAGAATTTGGCACTGAAACTGGATTCTGTGTCCCTTCTTTCGTTCACTGGCACCTTGTAAACTCTGGCCTCACTGAAGGGCTGTGATAAGCATCACAATAGTCTTGTATCTATCATGGCAGGAAACCAACTTCTAGGCCACTGCAGCAGAATAATGCAGAGCAGTGCAGTGTTCACTTACATCCTCATACATACTTTTTTTTCCTTTCCAACCCACCTTTCCCCCACTTAAATCTACCAGGGAGGGCTAATACAGAATTGCTGTTAGTCCTGTGCTCGGTATGAGAAAACAGCACAGCCCTGCTGGGCTAATATAAAACAGACTGCAATTCACAGCAGAGTCTTATCTGCACCCGCAAATCACACAATGCTGTGATACTCAGGTATTGCTGACAGAGACTATACAAATTCAAAAACCACCAGCTTTTCTCTGAGGTACGAACTAATGTATTGATTACATATCAATATCACTTACAAACAGTCACGGTATATATAGATGGAAATATATCACGGTATTGCTCTGTTGTGTGCTGCACAGAAAGCATGTTACACGGAACGCTGGACTGTACCTGCATCTGCAACTTCAGCAAATATATATAAACATAACATTTTGTAAAGATGCCATGTACATGGTTGGTTTTTGTTGTTGTTTGTTTTTTTTTTTTTTGGGGGGGGGGGGGCAGGCAGGAGAGAGGTGTGAAGTAAAGGTGGACAAAACACATTTCAAAACTAGTTTGAGGACACCATATCCAATTCTATTGTAAGGTGGGAGCTATTATAACCATCATCTCATACCACAATTTAACATCCAACACACTCACGTGGAACTTCTGTGCCATACTTCAGATGCTTGCCATTTTGAAGGTTCATACTTATACAGAGCTGAAGTGGCAGCACTCATTGAGGCAAGCATTTCCAAACACCTACTGCAAACTCAAAGGATAATTTCTGTACTTCTTCTATTTGTTACTGCAAAGCTGATGACTATAAGTGGTAGACTAGAGTCAGAATTCAGAATATGTCCATCTCTGCTGCATGTAATTGTGGAAAAAGTAGTATAGCTGATTGCACCTAGCAAGATGATAATCTAGATATTAATTGTACAGTAAAAATGATGCACTTTGTATTGCATTACCTTCTCAGTTTCCTTCTGTGTGCATCTGTACCCAGTAGATGTAACTGAAATAATGGACAGGCTAAAGAGGGTGGCTTACCTTGCGTTGTTCCATCTAACCCCATGAGACACTTCATCGCTCTGATGATTTGCTCTGCCACAGGTGGGCACATAGATGTGGCGTACACAGCACTGTGAGAATGAGTTCGTAAAAAGTCCACGAGGCCCTTAGACAAGGGAAACAAAGTATGAATGAACTTGGAGGTGCCTGGACATCACATCTCCCCTTTAACTAACACAGAGTGAGAAAGTGCAAAAAAAAGAGAAGGTTTCACCAGCTGTTTACTTTCTTGGCCGCTCCCGTTAATACACAGCCTGAAGAAACATTAGGCAAGTGCAAGCACTTTGCAATTTAAGTGAGGCAATTACAGCTGAAATAAAACAATGTGTATGCGCTGAGACTTATTATAAAGGAGCCAAAAAGGCCAACGAAGAGCTGCTTTTAAAATACTGTTCAGTCCATCCATGAATAGGAAAGAAATAAAACTTACATGACAACAGCACAGTTTCCCTGCCACAAGATCTAACGCAGGAAAAGTAGCCCTACTGGAATCTGTCTTTGGCTATTAGCACACACATTTCTTACAACATAAACTTCCTATTAGTGTGACAGGTCCAGTCATGTTACAATCTGTAGAACTGCTTTAACATTTCCCTGCATATCTAACAGCACAAACCACGCTCCTAACAAAAGCACTGCTGTGCTGCAGGCATGATTAAAGCACCAATAACTCCTGACTGCAGGGATTGAGTAGGAATTCAGAACTAGATTAAGACTACCACTACTGCAACAGAGCATATTTATGAACATATGTAAATTGCTGAGTAACTGTTATTGCACCAAAAGCTAAATGCATGGTAGTGAGAAAGAGATGATGTCTGCTTGAAACTATGCTTTGATAAAAAATGCCTCCAGAAAATAAAGATACTAACACAAATTATTGCCATAAATGTTGCCTAAGTCTATGCTGAAACTTTAGTGCTAGGAAAAAAGATTTATTTAACTTTATATATGTTGTGCACTGCTGCATTGCTACACTGCAATTGTAATCCTATGGGTTTAACCAAGTAGCTGAGAAAGCTTCTGTGTTCTTACTGACCCAGCAAAAAGAACCCCTGTATGTTTATGGCTGCATAAATGAAGGTAGGTGAACAGCTGCTGCCAAGGCCCAGAAGCCTGAGGCAAAGCTTAGTGATACACCAGGTGTGAAAAGAGTGACCACTTTCCTTTAAGAAAACTTCCAAGGATTAGATGATGAATTGCTATAGATGTTTCTTCACAGGTTCAGGCATCCTATCATTTCTAGCTTTATTAGCCAATTTTCCTTTGTAAAAGTCAAATCTTCAGACACAAATTCAGGAAGCAAACAAAATAAAGTTGATTCTTTATGCATAACAGTAGTCTGTTTTAAGATCTCCAAGTGCAAAATCTGCCAAAGATGGTGAGAAATAGATGCTTCACACTTTCTTACATCCCTTTTATTCTACACAAGGGCTTCCTACCTTCCTGACAATATCCATATGAGTTGTCTGACTAGGCTATCTCCTCATTCAGTAAACTACTTTAGAAATACATTCCTGTATTTTTGAAGGTATGAAGAGGGTAAAAAACCAGCAACTACTTGACATCTTTGCTAAGCAATAAAAATGGTGATGTTACACAATGGCATTAATTACACTTTCTCTTCTCCTACACTCCCTGTTAAAACAAGTTCAGCTCTACTTTCTGTTGACAAGAGGTTGTTTTGTCAATGCATGTGGAGAAATTGAGATCAAAGAGGTTGCTATTGTGAGAGATCCTCAAGTAAATCCTCTTTCTCCATCCTAAAAATGCAGTTATGACAATCCACAACTGTTCAGGAATTTTGTATCAGTGGATGAAACTGTGGCTTTAATTTCTCAATCTTGCTCCACACACTGTTTACAAACAGGAAATAAAGTAGCAAGCAGTCTGCATGAAAATTAATGTAGTGAGGTATATTTAGACAACCACAAAGATTTTAAACTTTTCCAAAACAAACAAAAATCATCAGGGTGGCATGAAAATACCCAACCTAAGCAAATTATATAACATGAACATGAGACAAAAATAAGAAATTCTGACAGTTTTTAATATTCATTTGGGATTTAGACAAAAGTGGCACTATCTGTAGAATTGTGCTCGTGTAAAGCAGTCTATATGAAAAGATAAAAAAGTTCATCTCATGTAATGAGAAAGTATTTCCCCCCCCCCCCGTTTGTGTTTTCCTTTTACCTTTTTGCCAGCTATGTATCCTCCAGCTGCACCAAAGCTCTTTGTGAATGTTCCCATTAATACGTCAACATCATCAGGATTCATACCAAAGTACTCCACAACTCCTCGTCCTGTTGCTCCCACTGCACCGATGCTGTGAGCTTCGTCCAGATAGAGGTAGGCTTTGTATTTCTTCTTTAAGGAGACTATCTCTGGCAGCTGCACAATGGACCCTTCCATGCTGTGGAGAGAATCACAGATAAACAACAAATCCTATATCTTCTTTTCTCCTTAAAATGCTGCCAAAGAAGCATAGGCATTAAGTGCACAGTGCAGTTACTCCATGGAAGATCTTCTGCAAACTCCATTTGTATTTACAGTTCAAAGAAACACTGCAAGCATCTTCCAACAAGTATAAAAGTAAAATAATTTTAGAATTCAAGCAAATAAAAATAGCCAAAAAGTCCTTGAACGTTTGGAAATTGCCAACATGCCATAAAAGAGAAGGAAAAGTATAAAGTGAACGGAAGATATTCACCAAAGTAGCATATTACATCTGACTGCAAAAAATATATATATTGTAATGAATTATAAGGAACTGCTATAATTCACAGTGGTCCTTCATCCATCTACTGCTACTATGTCAACATTTCTGGATAACAGATCTAGAGAAAAATCACCCTGGGGCAGAGGAATTGGCTCTAATATGGCCCACATGAAATGCACAGACAGTGCCATGGCTCAGAGCAGCCTCAGCCTTCAGAGTGGAGAGAATCAGGGATTAGAAAAGACAATTCAAACCCAATCTTGTTACTCCTACCAGATGAATGGAAAAATGTTTCCATTCTTTTTCTGTTTATTTTCTTAAGGCCACATAGGAAACAGAAATATTCTAAACTTCTCGCAACGGTGTATAGAAAGCTCTAGAAACAAGAAAAGGTGATATATCTTCTGTATTGGTAACTGTATCCGTAACTTAGAAGGCACAGGAGAGTTCTACAACAGAATGAAAGCTCTGGGAAACAATGGGAATGCCCTCAAATTCTATAAAGACGAAGTATCAATAGTATTGCTGTGAAGACTATTATGTCTTGAAAACCTTTGTGGGACAACTGAAGTTGTGCTTGGATATGCTTTGGTGCACTCAGCATTCACTTCATAACGAGCTGCACGCATTCTCTTCATCAGGTCTAGTGAGCAGGCCTTAAATGCTACATACTTTCTATCAAACCCAAAGTGAGTGCACTATGCACCCCAGAAACAGCATTCTGTGGCCAAGCATTCTGCAGCGAAGGCGTATCTAGTTGCATGTGCTACAGCAGTTTCAGGTGAGTAGAACTGTCACGTTTGCTCCCAGAGGACATGTAAAAATGAGCAGCGTGTTCAATACAACCTCTTGTTTTGTTTTTGTTTTGTTTGCAGTTTTGTGATCTTGGGCCAGTGGCTTTCACAGACTCTTTACTGTCACTCAAGCTGATCTACGCAGCTGGAAGGTCAGTACCACAAAAGGGAAATGATGTGTTGGCAATGTTTTACAAGTTTTGTACTTTTTCTTTTGTTCTCCTGAGTAAGCTTGGAAACAGCTTGAAGTTTAGGAGATATTTGTTCCCTGAAATCAGCAGTGTCCATTAGTTTAGATGAACAGTACTGGGGAGCAGCCATGGACAAGGATTGCCTGTGCTGATCAGGTTCAGAGAGCCTCGCTGTGTCCACCTGTAGGCACAATTTTGGGTGTCAGGTGACTGGTGGCAGATCCTGCCTTTCTGTCTTGTCCAGCCATAGAAGAAGCAGCCATGGGGACATGTATGGCACCACAGTTTCTTGCAGACAGGGCAGACAGGCTTGCACTGCAAGCTCTCAAAGACCGAGCTTTCCTTCCTGTCACCCCGTGCTGGGGACAGAGCCCTCCAGCAGTCAAGCAGCTCTTTGCAGCTTCAGGAGAAGCAACTTGAACCACCACAGCTATTTTCTTAATGAGTATAAGAGCAGAACCCACAGTCCTCACATGACCCAAAGTCAAACCATTAGTCAGCTAAAAATTAGACCAAGCTTCTGGGTGTGTGTGGGTATGAAGCATCCCACGTGCTAGGGAGGGCAGTTTTGGCCATCTGGTCAGCTTGCAGGATGGCTAAGTGGTCAGAGAGAAAGTGCAGGGCCAAGGAGCACCACTGCAGGGAACAAAGAAGCATCCCCCACTGTGTCTTCCAGAAATAGCTGGGGAAGAAAAGAAGAAGGATAGTTTTTCCACATTCACACGGGCATCACATAAGAATGGCTCATGGAGATTCAGGTGAGAAAAACAGCTTTTCTCTTCAAAAAGATGAGAACAAGAACGGGAAATTAAAAATACAAAGCTTGATTTACTGTGTATTTGTCATTTTCAGTGCTGGGTTAGTGCTCTTGAAAGACACTGGCTGACATAAACATTACAACAGTTGGCAGAGATCCTAACGAGGGCCTGAAGCATCTTTGAGGCAGGTAGAGCACTGCTGGTTTTGTGTGTACGTCCTGGGCTGCTATGCAAACAGGCCTCAGCCCTCCTGACGGCAGAGATGAGAGCTGTTTCTGTGGCACTCTATTGCTGGTTTTGCTTTTGACTCTGGGAGATGATCTGTGATACAAACACCGCTCAGTTTAGAATTGCTCAGAGATAAAAATCACTTCATGTGTCTCCCTGGGTAGTCCAAATGGAAAGTTTACTGAGTCCTTCAGTAAAAATTGATATCAACTGAGTTTAAATCAGAGAGCTGGAAGTAAATGAACTGCAGTGCCTCTGTCTCAGTCTGGCTGTGTCACTTGCACAAAACTACTAATCTGTTTCCAGATCTGCTCAGGCACATCTAAAGAGCTGTGTGCAGATGAATATAAGCTGGGTCTGCCCATGCCAGTCATTAGCATTATGTGGTATTACATCCTGTCTCACAGCAAAAATTATTAGCTTGCTTGCAGGGATGTACAGCTTCTAGACTGCAGCTTACCCTCATCTTCCTTGCTCAGAGGGTGGGCAGAAGAGCTTGCTTCAGTATGCACAAAGTTTGAATCTCCTTTCAGACATGAGGACGTAACTCAAAATTTTGGGATCACTGAATTTTGAGGCTTGGTTCAATCCCAACAAGCCACTGAGAGTCTTTCTGAAGCAGCTGATGAATTCTACAGCCAGGTGTGGTGAGAGAGTATTTGTGCTGGCCATCTCTCTTGGAATACAAGCTTGTTCCTGGCAGGATGTATATTCTGACAAGTGTTGTTCAGTTTATTCTGAAACTTATCAGTAAAAACAGTTTGCAACAATCTACCATAGTAACAGAGTTTCAATCTTTTTTTTTTCTGTCAGAAAAAGTAATCTACCAACACTCAACCTATTATCTCCTTCATAATTCCATCACTCAACTTCTCTACATATGCACCAGCATTACAGTCCTTTCAACATTTGAAAAATTACCTGTTCCCCTTTCAGGTTGATTTGTAATTGGGAAACCCCTCCATTCCTGACCTATTACTCCCAAAATACATGCATTGCATTTTTTATTTATTTTAATATTATTTTCTTACATAAACCTCGGGCTTTCATACAACAATCTTTGTTTTGTAGTTTAGAGTAATAGTTTAAGGAAACTCCAACAGCCCTCACATACAGTGCCATACACTGAAATGACAGAAATGTTGACCTTTGACGCTGGTCCCTGGCCAAGGACTGTTTAGGTCCTTGGATTAGATTAGATTAGGAATTAAATGTTACCCCACTCTTTTCTAAAGTCCCAACATCCAATCCCAGGAAATAAAAAAATAACCCTAATAAATTTCCTATGGTATTGTTATTGAAACTCAAAGAACTTCTACTGCATGTGAAAAAGAATTGGATAATATCCAGTTAAGCAGAAAGCTGTTTTCTGAGCTGGAAGAAAATATACTCAAATCAAATGTGGGGGAAAATAGATCATTTGTTTTGATGGGTTTCTGATACCTTATAAATTCCTCCCTCGTCCTCAGCCTACCTGACTCTTAGGTAAATATGTGTGCAAGAGAGCAGAAGTCTACCAGAAACCATGTAAGAACATAATAACTGATTAATCCTGAACTGGAAATAGTGGAAGCCAAGAAAAACATTAGCTGGATATTTAAATAATAGAAATATGATTTAGCAAGTCACTTTAATTTGTGCGTTGGACACGGCCAAAACTTGTTCATGCATTTTGAGCTGAAGATTGATGGCTGGATCGTCTCCCCATTTGGAACAAAAAGGAAATATATTTGCTCCTAGGCTATTCTGAGTCAAGAACCAGCTCTCACTAGCAGTTAAATTTACTTCCTATGATTTTTCTTTTAAGATGCAAGATACATTAAAAGCAAACAATCATATACTTATTGCTATTTGTTTGACATGTAGCTTGGGTGCTTCCCAAGCCAAAAGGCCAATTCTGCCTTCAGTTGTAACCAAAGAAAATCTGTGGCTTATGGTTTCAAACACAAGTCTGACTTCCAGAAATGTTCGTGTTGGCTAACAATGGCCCTTTTCAAATTTTGCCAGCTAGTAAGTCCAGGCTTACGAGCAGCATAAATACTTTAACATACCCCTAATGCAGACACTAGGCAATTTTTTTTTCCATACCATCAACTTTACCTTACTAAGACTATAGTGTCCCATACAGCAATATTTATTTTAAATAGGAAAGCTTAGCATTTCTTTTGCATCTCTGGAAAATGCATTTCTGTATAAATTTGCCAAGTCAAACTTGCAAGTCAGGATATTTTAGCTTGGAGAATGGCTCTGACCAAGTTATTTAAATTCTGTATTAGTTGTCCCCAAAGCAAAACTTATTTAATTCCTTAAAAAAAAGAAAAAGCAATATTAACAGTCTTAAGAATGCATTAACAACAGTCTGCCTCCTCTTAAATCCACTAGATGAATGTTCATTTGGCATCTGGCAAATCTTCAAGAGAACTAACATAGCCAACATAGGGGCTGGAAAATTTTAGTCTATTTCAAAAATCATGGGCCAAGAAAGGAAAGAACGTGCACACAAAAGAAGTAACTGTATTTCTAGAGTGTGTTTCTCCAGCTTTTTCTTTTGCATAGGAAGTGTTATTAGCTACATAGACTACATGGCTGGTGAGTCTGTTCCCAGCAGTGCAATGAGAACAGATCAGCTGCATGAATCTCGGGTTGGCATCGATGGCAGGGACACAGCACAGAGGGGTGTGGTGGCATCCTCCCTCAAGCCAGAGCAGACATGCTTTGCAACCAAACCACAATCTTTAATTTCTGATCAGCTTAGACTACCAAAACAACTAACCAACCAACCTGACTACTGCTGGTGCTGGTTTCCAGTGACAGAATATTAGAGAGCTGAGCTCTGTTTTTGCTTTTGTTTTTTATTTGTTTGTTTATTCATTTTCTTTATTTTTTCTCTTTATGCCTTTCACAAGCTTTGACACTCAGGACCTGAGTGGTCTTAGAACTGTTATGCTGTTATTCCCTGTCTGCCTGGTATTTCTCTGGCAATCAATAGAAAGTAACAAACTTTCAGGGAAATATAATTAATCTGACTGTGAAATCTCTTTGAAAAGCAGTGATTTATGAACCACGTAGGTATCACCACCAACTCCTATCTAAAGTAAAAGTTTCCTTTTGGTGCTGTTCTCTGAAGCCTAGAATGTTTTTATTTAGCATCTTAACAGATAGATGTGCAGACTTCTGAAAAGGAAATGTTTTTGAAATCCAACTGCAAAACACAGAGGAAAACAAAGCTTTATACTAAACATACATCTGGAAATGCAGCTGCAAGTATTGCAACTATCAGCTAGTGGGTTTGCCCCAATGTTTAAGTGGATCTATGCCTCACCAATCTAACTTCTCTCTCCCTAATGGTAAATATCTAGAGTAAAGGATTTTAAACTGAACAAAGCTCAGCAGCTAGAGCATTTTCTTGGGCCATGTAACCAAAAGGCGTATTTGTCAGTAAAATGTTGGTGGTCCACTTAATTTCTGCGTGATCAAAGTCCTTAAATTGAGACTTTCTTTTAGTAGTGCCAAGCTATGTTTATTTGCAGTTTTGCTCTGTTTACTCTGATTGAAAGGGGACGTTCAGCCTGTTTTGGATCAGCTGATCTGCTGCTGACCTGTTTCAGCTCTGAGTGACAGGTGTTTAGATAAGGACTAATTTGTTCTCTGTGCAGATGGAGAACGTTCGGTAAAAAGAAAGTGCTGCTGACTATGAAGTTGTAATGACATGAGACTGTGAAAGATCTCTTATGAAAAACCTAATCAACTAAACTGTACTAGCATTCCTCAGTAACACGGCATAACCATGTGCCCATGTGTACAGACTACAGTTCAGCCCACATGAAATAATCCCCGCATGCAGACTTTACTGTTTTTTTCCTAAACCACGTCACATCCTGTGAATGAACAGTTCTGGCTCCCTTCTCTCTGGTACTACTCCAAACGCTGTCCTCCTTACTCTCACAGTGCATCTCCTGTTCACACTATATGCCTCTCACTGTGACTTGCTAAATCAACATTCAAAACAACAGAGGATCTCACTGCAGCAAGTTATGCCAGGGTTCACACAGTCATAATGGAAATTAATGTTTTAACAGGATCACTGAAGATGCTACGTAACCTCCATTCATTTCAGACTTCGTTCAGGTACCAATGTTAGCTTCACTCAACATATCATTGTGTTCTCAGAAGCAATAAAGAGCACTCACGTGTCTAAAATGCACATACCTGTAAATGCCTTCCACAAGGATGATAATTTTTCTCCATGCTCTGTGGCTTCGAGGCTGGCCATATATTATTGCATCTCTCAATAATTTCTCAAGACTCTGCATATCTTCATTTAAAAACAAGTAAAAGGAGAAAGGAAAATATTAGCAGAGATTTTTTTTTGAAGAAATTTTTTATTTTCTATTTTTTTTTTCCCCCGTAGAGAAAAAGACAACATTAAAAAAACAACGTATCCTGAAGATAAAATTCCTTTATTAGCAGGCTAGAATCAATAACTTTAGTTTGACTGTATTAGTTGATTTAGTTTGATTTAGTTTGACTGAATGCAATCTTGTGAAAAGTAGTTTCAAAAAGCCGCCAGTTATGTACTCTACCTGGGAAATTTCTACAGATCTTGACATATGTTTTTATTTAAAGGGAAAATGCAACCATTTTGCTTTAGTACTGAGGCTAATTGCCACCAGTTCTATATGGGTTGTTGATATTCATAATATCTCAAGTCTTTTGAATGAAGAACCTTCATTTGCTTCCCAGCACCATAAAGAACTTGTGAATCACAGGCACTGCTTCAGCAAAGGCTTGGATGAGGCTGCATGAAGTACATCAGGATGACAACAAGAGAAATCCTCGCCTTCCCAGGAAGGAATGCTAGTGAAAGACTGCTGATGAGGGAGGGAGAGACAAATGGATATAAACACATAGCGTGGGTACTCTCAGTTGCCAAAATGCTTGGAAATAGCAGAACTTTGATACAAAGAGGCTTGGATGTTGTTAGACACTTAGAAGTTCTGAGTGTGGATCATCTAACAAAATGCTGAAAGGAAAGGCACTATGTTTTGAAAAACACAGAAAAGGCTAAAAAATAATAATTAAAAAAAAAATCAAAGGAACAAGAGACAGATCAAAATCCAACTCTCAGCGCAGAGCCGAAATGTGGGTTCTGAATGAAGTCTCTCCAGAATGAATTACTCTGGTACTTTCTGGAAATCCAAATTGACACTTCAAAATGTTTCCAAATGACATCTCAAATAACATCTTACAGAGACTCATAATACCCCAAGGAATGCTACAGATGAGGACAAATTGTGGGGGCTGGGAAAATCAGTGGCTTTTTTTTTTCCCCACAATATAACACCACTTCTTGAGTAATATATCTTAATGCGGTTATTTTTTGCTAAAATGTTACAAAACTAATCTTTAATTCTCCCAGATGAGGCAAATACATCTTACCTCTATTGATGTTGACTTATAGCTTTGTTTCTGCCTGACTGTAAGCAAGCTGTTCGTACAGCACTTGTCCATCATGAATAATCAGTGACCTGAGAGATCACCAGGATATGATCTAGTTCGTTATACCCTGGTACTTTGCCCTTTGCTGAGGTGCTGATTTCAGTGACAGATTTCTCAGGAACACCTGTGCCACTCTGCACCTTACAGTCTAATCTCTTGACCTAACAAGACCTTGCTATATCTTACAAAGCACACTTGCATGATGAGTGGCCTCTTATTTCAACCGTGTAATCATCTGCACAGCTGGATAAGCTCCCAGATGGAAATGCTCCTACGAGTGATGCAATGCAGATAGCACAGTGTCCACTAGGTGGCAATAAAGGGAATAAAAGTTCCGTGCTGCTTTACAAAGCGAATGGATGACCCAGCTAAACACGTTTCATAAAAGACACCTGTTCACCTTCTCTTCTGAATAGATAAAATCTGGAAATCCTTTCTAGTTCTGAGAATTAAAGGGCTCCAAAGGATTACACAAAGCTCGTGAGTTACGGAAATGAGGTAAGATTTTCAGTCACTTAAAGTGAAGTTTTCTCCACTGAATTTAATCGTCTTTTTCATCAAAATGCCTGCAGGACCTTTGAACCTCCTCTCCGAATCACACAGAGTGAGACTTAATTCAGTATTCTGTCTATATATAAATTCTGTCAACACTGGAGCTAGACTTTGGGAAAGTTAGTTTGCCAAACTTCTGAACTGAAATTGTGGCTAGAAAATTCAGTTATTTTAAGACCACAGGGAAAGAAAGAGGAGAGGACAGAGAGATAAGAAATGTATACAGCTTTTTAAAGAGCTTGTTTTATAAAAACAGGGATGTGAATAAATCCCATCCAATCTAGTGTGGAAGATGAAACTGCAAAGGGAAGAACATCTCCAAGTCAGGAGATGCCTGACTGAATTCCCATGTGACAGCCCTGCTTGAGTTCAGGCTGAGGACATGCCTGCTCAATGGAACAGGGCTATCTCATTTTGCTTTTGATGTCTCCTTCTGAAAAACATGTAGGGATGACTCTCAAGCCTGCCAACATATAATTTGCTTAGATGCAAATAGATTTTACTGACCATTTTACTCTTGTTTGCAGAAAGGAAATTGGAAGGTGGAGAAAATCTATTACCTTTAATCTCTCCCCCTAGAAAACTGCTTCCTTTTTTCAAAGTAAAGATGCAGTGCTTTCTGTGTTGCGACCTTCCAGACAGTGGGATATAGAGTGTAAGGAAATAAACCAGTGCAACCCCAGCTGACTTTCTTCTATCAAATTATTTGGCCACTAAATATAGTTAGACTATGAAACACTAGGACAGGGAAACGAGTTGCACAAGTCCACAGCCCATCTTGAGTAAAATTAGTTATGGGGAAAATAACTGTCCTTCCTTGTTTGACCATCACTGGCCCTGGCTTTTCAGTGGTAGAGGCAAACAACTGTTTGCCAGGCCCAGGAGGCGGGTGGTTGTAGGAAGTTCACTTGGTTAATTACTCGAAGCATAATCAAATTTGTCCTTGTCTCAGTTCCCGACTTATCCCTGAAATATTGATTGAATTTAGAAGCTGAGCTTTCCTAAGTAGGCACAGTGGATCACCTGCATTTTTAGAAGTTAATCTGAAGTTGCATAATCCTTGTTTGGGCTCCGTCAGAGTTACTTCAATGGAAATGCCACCACAAATTGCTGCTGGGTGAAAGCGAGCCTGGACCCAGCAGGCAGCGGTGTGTCATGCTGCCTTGCAGTGTAGGTGGGACTCGGGCTCCCGCAGGGCCCTGCCTTCCCACAGACATGCTGTGCCTCCCTGCAGGGAGACACGGAGTCTCCACCCCTCATCCCCACATCGCAGCGCTGAGGACATCATCATCATTCTTTTGCGTGGGCTGAAATCCTCCTGCATGATGTCAACTGAATACATTTAATTAAAATGAAAAGGCTACTGCTACCCTTATCACAGTCCTTTCCTTCAATTTGTGTTTGCCATTCTCATTTCCAGTTTCTCAGTTTGCCTTCTTGTGCAAATTCATACAGACACTACCTGCCTGCCCCTTCCCACTCTGTCCTGCACACAACCAGCCCTCTCCTCTTGTGGGCTCCTTTCCTGGTCACCATCCTGTTGTAGGTGACAAAGTGCCTAGCTCTGATCCTATCTCTCCTTGCAAATCCCTATAGCAAAGGGAAACCACTGCAAGGGTTTCATTCATCCAAACATTACTCGTAGGACTGTAAAATACAATTTTCATTCTAGTGAAAACTAGACTTTGAGAAGTTTCTCTCTGCTGGCAGAGCTCTCAATAGCAAGTGTGTCCTTGGAGGACTTTCCCTAAAATCACAGCTTTGCCTTTTTTTTTTTTTTTTTTTTTTAATGTCAAAGATTGGGATAGGGGGAAGAGGAGTAGTGGCTGTTGCATCTGTCATACAACCAAAGCCTGCCCACCCTATCCCCCAAGAAATACGCAGCTGAGTGTAAGTGAGGAGCCTATGAAAACCTCCAGCTCACACCTGACAAGCCAGACACGGCTTTCTCAAATCAGGGAGGGCAAATGCAGACACAGCATGCTCAAAGCAGGATATTCCAGCCTTCTCACTGTGGCAGCGTCTGTGTGTGTCACAGGGAAATACATGCTGAACTGGATTAGGCTGAGGTCAACTTATCTAGTGTAATGATCTTGTCTCTGATAGTAGCCAGAGGCTTCAAACAGGACAAAGCCTTAGTGGGTAAAGCAGCTTTCATCCTGCTCTGTAAGAGCTTGAAAAGTGCCCTCCCCTCTGAAATCCATGGACTGCTTATACCTCTGTAAGAACCCCCCCCCAAAATTAATGAACCATCTCATACTAAACCACTGCAACCACAGAAAATTTTCACTATTTCTTACCCTTTCGTTTTATTCGCTTACTTTCTTGAAGGCACGCACATCTATTTTTATACTTCTTTCTTTTTTTCCCTAGAGAATACATTTGCACAGAAGTATGAGGGCCCTGTGCTATTCTTTCAGTGTGAACTACAACCACTCCAGATAGCTGAATTTTCTCTACAAGGTCTCCTTGTGGCACACATACTCAACTCCAAAGCTCTAATTTGACTGAGTGGACCAAGAAATGCCATAACTGGAACAACAGCAGCTCACCTGTTGTCCGAACAGGAAACATTTTGTACAGAATCCCAGAGAGCTCACGCCTGCATGACACACATTTGTCATCAACCACCTGATCTCTGAGAACCCAAAAATACCCCTCTCTGTTTTCACAACACTCTTACAAGGTGTGTGAGGAGGAGCTGGGAATGTCCCACAGTGATCCTCACTTTTCAGATGTGGATTCAAGCACCAGATTAGAGGCCAGATTTTCATCTACCAATGGTGCTTGGTTGTGTCTTGCAATTCCCTGCCTTCTTCATAGTATCACTTACTCTGATTGCATGGTGAAGTGCAAGTCCCTTGCAATGAAGGGAACTGGATTTTTTTCCCCTGTGACTTGACTTATATGTGTAGTCATGACATTCACACAGATTGCTCAAGCAATTGCAAATCTAACCCTGAAAATGTGACGGCAATTTAGTTGCTTGATGCTATGTGGGAAAAATGCAGTAGAACTAGAAAGGGCCAACAAATCCTAACTCTTATTAGGAGAGCACCTAACAGCACCTTCTTATATGAGCTAATATGAACAGAATCCACCTGGATGTAGTCAGGAACAAACTGATCCATTCACTGAATGATGCTATCTTACACTCTCATCTCATGCCACTGTAAGACCCAGAATTGCTGTGATGGAAAACCCTTGATAAAATCACAAGCTGGTGAATAGTTAGATGTTTGCTTTCGCTTTTCAGCTACTGGA